AACTTTTGTTTCTAGATTCTATTTATATAAGTTAATGTTCTACTTTCTCATAGGTGACATAATTGATTTACAGCCTACATATGTCGTATTTACACGTATATTATAAAGAGCACTGAAATATATTTCATTAATTATAAGTATGAATTTCTTGAACATTCGAACTCATCTTTTTTTTTTTTTCATTTTTAACACAATAAAAACAAATGTAAAAAATGTAAATTAATATTCATTTCAAAAAAAATTTCTATTCATTATTGAATATATATATTAAAAATAGAATATTATAATAATAACTCAGTAATGTTTCTTCTTAATTATAAAAGTCCTCTTTATTTATGCTTGAATTAGTCGATTAATTTTCATGCACGATTACATGTTCAGTAGTTTAATCATAGCGAATATAATGCTTAGGTTACTATTTTTATGAGAATATATTTAGATAAAAAAAAACACACACACACACATATAAAGAAAAATTTTATCCTAATGAAATTCAAAACTTACTATTCATTATAATTCGAAGCAGCAGCGATTTGAATAGTTACTGGAGTTCCCATGGGTTTTGTATATAACTTTTATTTATCATAACAATGATTATTCATCTTTCAAATTTCGACGTGTCAACAACGAAAGTCTCTAACATATGTCATTCTATTGCACTTCTAACCATTGTGTTTGTGTGTCTATGCTCGGTTCTACTTTATGTCTTTTTCTATAAAAAAAAGATATCATAGAAGCCAGAGACACAATCAATAAAGCGAGACATGAATAGAGAACGTATGCTCTTAATATTTTCTTCTCTCTATTTCTCTCTTATTTGATGATAGGATTCGCGAAAAATAGCTAGATATATTGATGCTGTCGGTGATGAAGCGCATCAAACAGAAGGCAAAAGAAGCAGAAAATTTTCTTGTCTCTTAATTGTGCTCTCAACTACGATTTTCTTCTCTCATTTTTTTTTTCTAGTACTTGTCTCGTTTCCGAATGTTGAACTTCATCAACATTTTAACATCCGTTTTCTCTTTGCCTCGTCTCTAACGTCATCATATATCTTTCCCATAATCAAAAAAAAAACGTCGTGAATGCCATATATATATATATAAATTACATGGTATGCAGGCGAAAAAAAAAAGATTGAAGTGGAGCGGAAATCTAACCATTGATAAAGTACACAAAACTCCAAACATATAAAGAAATTATCAATTTTCCCAGCAAGTAGGCCGTCCTAGTTAGCTCATCCCATTTTTTTTTTTGCAAAACAATTTTTCTCATTGCCAATAACATCCTTGTTAATCTATATTGGCCATATGTCGAGCAATTATAATAAAGCGTGTTTATCTAGATTCTTTTGTTGGTATATATACGTTTTATATACAATACAACTGTATTCTATTTCGAGAAGGATATATGTCTTTATGTTTATTAAGGATTGTAAAACAATATAGAAAAATGCTTATTATTAGTAGTGCCATGGATAAATCGGTATTCGTTTTGAATCATCTTGATAAATCAATCGACTTGGTACACGTTCTATATTTCGTTCCCAATCGTTATAACAAGTTGTCATCCAATTACCACTTGATTTTTTATGAGTTGATGTTAATATTGATGAAGATAATGGTGGATTATTAAATGCAGGTAAACCACGATAATCACGTCGTGTTACACTTCGGTCTGGATGAACGGGAAGTGGATCATGAGAAAGAAGCCAACCATTATCTTGTCTTGCAGTTTGAGGCATTAAACGTTTACCAAAACCCTTCAAAAGACAGCAAAAAAGTTAGATATTTCTTTTTTCTTGTCTTTTGAATGTCAATTTTTATTTACTCGTCCAAAATATTCTCCATAATTTTGTATGATATTTCGATTGTCATGTTCTGATAAACGATTAGTATAGGTCTACAAAAAAAAAAAAAAAAAGATTTGTAAATCAACTTCAAACTTGAATAGATTTTATTAACTTCTCGTCGTTTCAAAGCAGCAACTTGTGAATGAGGTGGTGGTGTAGGCGGTAAATTATCTAACAAAGCAACTGGTGTTGGTCGAGGATCAATAATTTGATGCAGCATTTGACCAGTTGTTGTTACTGTTCGACGATCTAAGTCTGGATCTGTATAACCACGTTGTTTGAACTATTAAATAAAAATCTATCGATTCATATTCTATTAAATCATTTCAAATGAATAGAAACATTGCTAAGCAATTATTTTGCACATATAAACAAGAAGCAAATTAAATTTTTGTAAAAATAAAAATTTTTTATTTTATGTAACCATCCAATCCCATAGAGCTATCAGCACAAAAAAAAACGTAATTAAGCAATAGAATAATTTTTACAAAGGGAAAATATTCACTGTTATATATTAGAGTTAAATATATATAATTGAATATTTTTACTCAATAATAATAGCTATATCAAAGCATTTGATTATTACCATAATTTGTATTATTCTTTAATCATATCCTGGAAAAAGAAAACCTTTTCTTTGTTTCTTTTACATATATATATAGATTTTTTTTTTAATATTCATAATCTACTTTTCTTTTAAGTAATTATAAATAAAATAGACTTCAAAAGAAAAAAAAAACTTGAGTTCATGCATTTCTTGCTCACCCAATATCCAGCCGGTTTAACTCCTTTTGGTGACGGTGGTTGAATATGCCGTCGATTTCTTATCGACATTGAACTCGACGTCGATGGCTTTTCATTATCAAACAACATTTCTGTTTGTTTATCTAAAGAATTTTTCCAGCAATATATTTGCATATATATGTATATTTATGCATAAATAAAATCAAAAAAAAAATAAAAACACAAGTCTATTGATTTTTTTTTTCGTTTACATAATGTACACTTTTTCTGCTTGTGTTAAATCATATGTTTCTTTCGTACGTGGACATATAACTTGACCATTATTAACAGCAGCCATTGCTTGAAGAGTCTAAAAATATTTGATTAAAAAAAAAAGAAATAATAAGATCAAGAAAAACTCAATTAAAATATATACTTTTGAACCATAAACATAACCATTTGGTAACATTAATGGTGGATTACTTTCATTAATTGGTTCGCGTGATTGTGCACAAATTAATTTTGATACAGAACAATGAGCATATGGTAAAACTTTAGCAATGGTTTTTAAATGAACATTACATACAGGACAATTAGGATTTTTTACAGATGAAACTTTATCAAAACATGTTCTATGTATTGAGCAAAAAAAAAATATATATATATGTATATTATTAGAAAATAAATTCTTGTTATTATTTACGGTGTTTTTAAAGCTGATAAACCACTTTGTAAAACAGCAGTAAATTTACTTTGTTGTCCCATTTGATTTAATTTAAACATATCAAGACGAAATTGTTCAATTAATTTTGTCCATCGATTTTCATCAAGTAATATCTTTAAATTAATTATTTTAGTATTGAATCAAAAAAAAATAAATAAAACTATATTGATTTTTTATAACATACTTGATAGTCATTATTTAATTCTTTTTTTGATTGTTGTGATAAAACAAGTAAACCCATAGCGGATTGAAATTCATTTAAATGTTGTTCTGGTATAGAACCATTTAAATATTTTCTTGCATGTATTATTGCTTCGGAACGTTGATTATTACGAACAAGTTCAATAAATTCTTGTAAATGTATACAAAAATCAAGTGTACTCTGTAATAAATATGACATTGAAGATTAAAAAAAAAATTATAATGAAAAAATAATAGAAAATAACGAACGCCATTCTTTTTTAATTTTGTTTTATTTTCATTAAACCAAGCTAGACATTTCGATACATCACGACGTATTAATGATTCTTCAATTTCACGTCCAGCCAAATAAATTTCGGAATTAACTAAGTGCTAGAAAAAAAAAGAAGGCTGTTCGAGTAAATCAATTAATATATTGTATTATATTATATTTAGAAGTTTATTAAAAAATTCATTGAAAAATAAGCCTGTTACACAGATAAACCTGTCATATCATCTTTCATTACATTGTGCTACTTAGAAAATATTAATAAACAGTCTTGTCTGTAAATGTAAATAGTATTTGTGTTGTTGTCGATAGATATGTCATGTCTTGTAGTACTAAAATATGATATGTTTTCTGAGTTCGTTTCATATGCAAGTATGAAAAAAACCATATTTTCAAAACGAATCATTATAATTTTCATTTTATAGGTTTAATTTTTTCGAAAATGTTTGTATTTGTAATCATAAAATTTCAATAAGAAATAGATTGTCTCTATACACATTCAACCCTTTTTCTTCTCTGAATTCATGACGTTTAGCTACTTTTAGTCTAAGTAAGTACGAGTCAACTGCATATTCCACTGTAAATATCGTAGATATTGCTTAGAATGTTTGATAATATTTATTTAAAAAAAGAAAACATTTGTTACAATTAGAGACCTGATGAACAGTTCCGAACAGAACTCTTAATGAGATGAATTGATTCGATTTTGCGATAGCTATTCATGTACTACGAACTATGGCTCATAGATCGAATCTTTAATAAAACATAAAATTCTTAACAGATGCCTCATCTTATCACTGTAAAGTTTCTCTTTTTGAAATATCTCATTTTGTTCGTTTAGTGGATCAAACATTTCTGCAATGAGGATCGAGTACGTATACAAAATAGAACAAAATAAGTAAATAGAAAATTGTCTATGCACGTCCAAAAAAAACCATTCTTTTTATTCAATAAAATGTCGTTGCTTCGTTCTCCTCTTTCACCAACAACTGCATCATCATCAATTATCACGTCTGCTTCTAATTCTATTCCTATTAAGAGTGATTCTATGGGCATGGATATTAATTTCATCCACACCCTCTTCCATATCTTTTTTCATTTTCTTTTAAATATAGTTTCTTACTTTTCTTTTTGTTTTTACTTGATATATTTGCGTGTCTATGCTTATAATTGAATAGCAAAAGTGCGTTTGTGATTCTTATGCTTTTTTTCATTTATTTTTTCTATGAATTATATTTATTTAAAAGAAATTAATATTCTTTTCTTTTTTTTTTTTTCTTTTTTTATTTACTTTTGTACAGAGAAATTGTCTAATACGATTGATTGTATGAAATAAAAAATCTAGTCAATGATATGAATAACTATTACAAATACAAAAAGCTAATTATCTTTAGAAAAAAATATTTAACTAAATTGAGGGTTGATGAGATATACATGGGTCGACTTTTCTAGGTTCAGTCAGCTCTTATGGAAGTCTGATTGCGTATTCCAAAAAATCTCATTTGTTATGTCCCATGTGACAAATAAGATTCGAGAAAAAAAAATGTCACGAATTTTTTCAAGTCGCATATCAGAACGAGTCTTATACTTTAATTTTTTTATTTCTATTAAACATTTTACTATTTAAATAAATAACACAAAATAAAACTGCAGAAAAAAAGATAATGCAAGATACATTTAAAGTTGATCATTATCATTCTCTTCATTAGTTATTTTACTTCAATGTAGTACAAGTACATCGTCTCGTTTTAAATAGTCTATTGTGTACATTAATCAGGGTGTGAATAAGAATGAGAGTGTACTTAAACTAAAGATATACCTCAAATTCATTTCTTTGTTCACACTTCGAATACAGACAAGTAAATTTCGTTTAATGTTCGATCGTTTGTTTTGACCAATAGCAAATTATTATTTATATCTATACCAAGACGTGCTCCATCGCACGATACTGTATTGCCAATAATATACATTGACGCTCGAAATTATTTATACATTCGAAGAAAATAAATATATTGAGCTAAACTGAAACACATGATTTTTTTTTCTCCTTTTTTTGCCGAAAACAATTATTTAACAATGGATTAAGTTGAAACTTTATTCAAATAGACTATACCTACTGCTATAGCTTTTGGTGATAAAATTTCAACTTAAGTGATTAGATAATTTTGAACACCACAGTAAATCAGAAAATAGTTAATTTGTAGAATAATCATCTATATGACTACATTTTTTTTGTCTATTAGTGATATAGGAAAGATCTATTCTTCTTTGACAAAATAATATCTTTATATTTCTTCCAGTTAACGGGACAAATCGGATACGACTGAGCACAGAGATGTTTGCCATGCAAGATTCTGATTACTATTCATTCTTAATTTTTTTGTTATTTAGAAAACTAACTTTACAAACGTATATGCAACTTTTCTATTGAAAAAAAAACGAATTATTGCTTATTAAATATTCACTTTTCAAAACCTTGTTTTTATTTAAAATCTTTATACATCTATGCATATAAATATAAACTTGAAGTCATAATAAATTCTAATGTAAACCGAATTTGATTTTTTTTGTCAGAACAGTATCTCAATTTACAAATGTATCAAGCTATTATGCATATGTTCATATGATTTACTACAAGTTGATGTGATCAAAAACTTAAGTAGTGTAGAAACAAATTTCATCTAAACAAACCTCAATTCCTGTTGCTTTAGCAAGTGCTTGTGCAGTTTCAAAACATCGTGTTCGAAAGAGAAAATCAACAAGAATACGTTCATATCGTTGTCGTCGCCATATTTCCATTTTTGATAATGAACTTCTATCATATTCTTTAAGATGATCAACACGTCGTTTAACAGCTTGTAAACATTCAATTTCATCATCACGTAATTCACGAGCCTAAATAAAAAATAAAAATTCAATGAACTAAATCAAACTTGAGAATCATTACTTTTCGTTTAAGTGTCATAGCTCGTTCGAGTACTCGTTTAAGAGAATCAATTGTAGTTGCAGATTGTGTCGATCGATCCAATTCAGCAACGGATGCAAGTAATTGAGCTGAATCACGATCAATTTGTTTTTGTGCATGACGATATCGTTTATTTAATGTTTCATATGGCACCTATTATAATAGGAACATTTTAAAAAATATTTTAAAACAAAAAGTATCTACCTTAATAGTAGCGTGTTCCAAAACACGAACATCATCCAATGCCACATTGAACATATTTCAATAGTTAAAATTCTTTTTTTTTGTCTCTAGAAAACTAACATGCAACAATAGTTTTTTTCTAAAGTTTGAAACTAAACTTGAAATAAGAAAAAAAAAATGTTTATACATATATATTATTGATAATATTGTTTTTTTCTTTCCAGAAGTGTTTTGTGAATACATATTTTTTTTTATTGTGTGTGTGCATGTATGTTTGAGTATGGAAAGAAAAGAGCTATTTATCCGAGTTAAAGAAAAAAAAAGTAGAACACAGACAATTACTTTCCAAGCCGAAACAATGAAGTATTTTGTATAGACCAACAGAAAAAAAA